CTTATTTTCATATGAGGAAAAACAAAGCCATAAGGCAAGCCTACTACTTTGTAATGTAGATAAAATATATATAAAGAAATCAAAAAAGTGTTAACAAGAAGTATTAAAGCATTTAGATAGCTCCGTCTTATCAATTAAATAGATCTTTATGGTGCTGCCTGGGTATAAATTATTAGGACAAATCACTCAGCCTAACTTTGCACCCACTAATCCATTTGAAGTCACCATGAGGGGGGAAAAAAATTTTTGTTTCTAGATTCTGCAGACAGAGTCAGTGGTGAATGTGACATCTTCCCTCAAAGTAACAGCAGATGTTCCTCTGTCCAAAATCTATCATGAGACAAGCAGAATGAACAATCAGGGCAACCCCCAATACCTTGCATTCCCCCCACCACCGAAACAGCACAGAAGCAATGTCACCATCCTACAGGTCTGGTAAAGAAATTATATTGATTAGTCTGAAAGGAGCTACTTCAGTTTGCTCACCTTCTATGCATTTCATAAAATCATAAAATAGGCTGAGTTGGAAGGGACCCATTAGGAACATTGAGTCCAACTCCTGGCCCTGCAGAGGGCACCCCAAAAAGGCCACCAAGTGACAGAGCATTGTCCAAACACTTCTTGAACTCAGGCTTAGTGCCATGACCACTGCCCTGAGAAGTTTTATATACTCAACCTCTCTCTGGGTGAAAAATCTCTTCCTGGTATCCAAGCCCCTGACTCAGATTGATGCTGTTTCCTCAAGCTCTGTCATTGGTAATGAGAGTGTAGAAACTGGTACCTGCCCCTCATGAGGAGGCTGAAGACTGCATTGGGTTTCCACTCAGTCTCCCCTTCTCTGGGCTGAACAAACCAAGTGCCCTCAGCAGCTCCTCATATGGCTTCCCCTCTAGAACCTTCCCCGTACTTGCAGCCCTTCTCTGGGCACTCACTATTAGCTTAATGTCTTTTTTAAACTGTGGTGCCCAAAACTGCCCCCAGAACTCAAGGTGAGGCTGCCCCAGTGCAGAGCAGAAAGACACAATCCCCCCTCCCTTGCCCAGTTGGCCTGATGCCCCCCAGGACATGTTTGGCCCTCCTGGCTCCAGGCCACTGCTGACTCAGATCCGACTTGCCATTGACCAGAACCCCCAGGTCCCTTCCTGCACCACTGCTCTCTAGCCTCTAATTAACTTAAGGCAGTTACATACAGTAAACCTCTTATGATTGTGAACTGTATGCTCAGCAATTTCATAAAGCCAAGTAAGTTGCAGACACCTCCTGAAAGGGAAATGTGAACACAGCCATCAAATTTTAGCCCTGAGAAAAATTTGTATCACCTTTCAGCCACTAGAAAGATAAAGTAATTAATTCCCCATACAAGAGGATCCTGTTGTCTTAAAAGTGCAGCTTCAGCAGTAAGTTATAGATAAGCAAATTACTAGTTGTGTATTAGCTGCAAGTTAATGAGAAAAGCATTCAGGTTCCCATAAATATATGGGACCAACAGGAAGGTGCTAGTTCTCTTTAGTATTCTAGCTGGATTGTCTTAAAACTGACACTTAACACGTGTGGCAGTGAAGTACCAAAGACTTCAAAGAAAGTTTCTAAGAACATCCAGTAACTACTTTATACATTAGTACCATTAACAATTGTGCTCACCAGTCTAAAATCCTGGTTTTCAATAATCACTCTCAAAATTACAGTCCACAAAACCTTTATCACAATGTCACTAAATGTTTGCAGCAAAGTCAATCAAACTTCACACAGCTAGGGAGAAGTTTCTCTCTCCTCCTCTTCATTAGCTTCACACTTAATAGCTCGTCTCCCACCATGTCAGGCAAAGCCAAGACCAGGATCTGTTCCTAGGAAACTTCATTGTACAAACTTCTTCGGAAAGTGACACTGTGACTACCTCATCTTTTAGCCCCCTTCTATGAAGTAGAGGACTCCCTTAAACAAACAACCTTCTTCTGTCAAGATAAGGTAGGTCATCACTTCTATATTAAGAGGTAGGGGAGCAGTTTTACCTACTCACTAGGTTAGGTGGATGAAGAAGATTTGAGGAACAAGAAAAATGAAAAAAATAAGTAATTATTAGAGGAAATGCTTGAAGCTTTGAAGAAATGCATCACAGAAAGAAAATCCATTAAAACAGTTTGAAACTGCAAAGGACATTAGTAAAATGGTTACTTGGAGGCAGTACTGACAGCTCAGCAGTGATGTAAAACATTCAATAGTCTAAGAGACATCAGAACCTAGAAGGTAAAAATAGCTAATATACTGTTGGAAACAGAAACACCAATGAAAGACAGGTGCCATGGTAAAAGTTACAGGTTAAAAGCACTTTGCATTAGTAAGATGAGAGGACACAGGCAGCATGAAACTCCGTACTTTTCAAGGCCAGGAAAAGGTTTGTTGCAGTAATCAAACAGGTAAAAATCTTGAGTTTCACCTGCATGGACAGACGACCGTCTGTACCGTCGAGACTGGAAGAAGGTCCTCCCTGAATTTCTTGGATTCTCCTCTATTTTGTCTTGGAAGTTTTGCATACATGTTCCCACAGCTGCAATTGTTGCCTGTATGGGGCTATGTACGGTATCTGCATATGCTCGGAGCTTCTTCGCCATATCCAGCACGGTCTCCTCCCAGTCATCCCGGTTCATTGTTGCTAAAGCAGAAGTGTATTCTTGTGGCCCAAAGTCGAACAAGTTTTCGCCACATCACAGATGTACATGGCACCAAGTCTGGATTTCTAGTACCTAAGTCACCCATGAAGACAATTTCTACTATAAAACCTACTGTTTAAACATGCCAAACAAAAACAGTCTGCAAGAATGACTGAAACCTCATTCTAGGTACTTGTGTCTACTAGGTGTCATAGTAGTATGTATAATTGGCTTCACACCTCACAACCAAGTATGATTGAGACAGTACTGTTGTACAGATCAATCAAAATTAAGGAACCTTAAGAACTTTGCTGTAATCACACTTTTTTGTGAACATGAACATTGAGCTATCAAATGCCATGAACAAGAGAAGACCAATATGAACCAGAAGGTCAAAGAATTATCAGTACCAAAATAGTTACTTGACATATTTTGGCGAAAATATCTGGGCACAAGGAAGGAAAGTATTCACCTAAACAATGGAAAAATAAAACTAACTGATGTGTTTAAGTATGAGGAGAAAACAGTCATCTGAGAAGATCCTTGCCATAACAGAGCGCAAATAAGCCAAGTAGAAAGACAAAAGAATTCTCCAAGTTTCAGCAGAAAGATGCGAATTCCAGGAAGCGCATATATTTCCACTGTTACACAAAGAACATACACCTCAAATATGGAACTGAAGGGAACAAAACTAGCAACAGTCTATATAATATCTATAATTAATTATCTATCTATATAATATCTATATCTAATAACAGTCTATCTAATATCTAATGATATTAGAAGGAGGAGACAACAGTTCCAAAGCAGCTGATCTTGCTTCGTCTGAAGAAAGATTGTATCACATTCTTACTGCAAGAAGCAGCAGAACAGCAACAGCTGAAGGGGACAACTCTGGAAAGACTGGTGAATATAAACTAAAGATGTTTACAGGTGAGGTAAGTCTCTGGAGGCAGGAAAGGGTCATAAGGATGGGATCACACTCCCCCTTGCTATCCTAGACAGTCTATAAGACCCTGCAGAAAAACAGAAGTAGAGATAGAAATACACAACAAGTCATCATCAAAAGATGTAATAAATACTGGTAAACTCTAAGCAGCAGAAAGGGGAGGTAAAGTGAGGGGCTAGCATGACTTAAGATAGCTATTGCCAAGCTTCTGGTTCAAAGAGAATGGAAGAACTCATTAAAATTTATTATAAGGTGATTATAATGGCAGTATATAAATTAAATACTGACATTAAGCTTCTCATAAATTGCATAACAGATTTGCCTACTACTATTCTTGAGACCACTTATCATGCCTCCTCAGGCACTGACAATTCATCTTGAGTCTTGAAGTCAACAGCCTAAGACATGCCGCATCACAGGATTTGTTAACTTAAGCGTAATAGTATTGTTAGTTGTTTGTAGGCTTCATCTTCAAAGGCTGCACCTACAACATTTATTTGCTTCCTGTTGTTTAACATTAATATCAGAACAGTAATTGCCACTGACACAGAGTTCAAAAGTAAGAAACAATCCTGAAAGAAGGGGCCTCACGTGTGCTTCCATTCACCTCCCTCTGGGTATTTCTTTCCCTCTTCCATTAGCTGAGAGAAATTATGAGAAACAACAGCGACAGCAGGGCAAACTAGCTTTTGCCAAAACACTGAGAGACATTTGTTATTCCCCAAGGCAAAATATAGATACCCACTGCCACTTAAAACACCACTGTACACACTTTGGGGCAGAATACCCAAATACTGCAATACTGCAGCCCACGTTCTCCTACAGCTCTTCAGAAAAACGTGAAGCCAGTTTACTAGCAGAACTCTGATGATTTCAGCTCAAGAAAATACAATACTACTATGGTATCCCACCTTGTTTTACAGAGCCCTTCTATTAATCGTTTTAACTAAAGAAAATATTAACATGACTGTAAGCAAAGGAAAGATTTACAGTGGTGCGAAAGTTGTGGACAATAACTTCAAAAAGCAACTGGACAAGGCGGCGCACAAAGCGGCTCAGAGCCAGGGCCGAGACGCAGCGCTCGCTGCCGCGCTCCAGGGCCCGCGCACTGCACCGGGCCCGCTGTCCATGTCCAGGGAGCAGCGACCCGCGTGAAGCACCTAAGGACGCAGGCCCCAACCTGGCTTCGTCCGTCCCCGCCTCGCGGACAGCGCGGTGGCCCGGCCAAGGCGCTCCCTTTGTCCGGCCGCTGGCCCCACTGGGACCAGGAAGACCGCAGGGAGGTGGCGCTCCCGGACACGGCCCTGAACGCGGATCGCCGGGCCGCGCCGGGCCGCGCCGGGGCCCACGGCAGCGCGGGGCCGCTGTGGGCCAGAGTAACAACGCCTGCAACTCCCGCCTACCTTCGTTTGCCAGGTCCGCCATTTTACTTCCTCAGCCGCGCCCACAATGCATCGCGCAACCGGACGGCACCGCTCACTGCGGGCCCCGCACGCCGCGCACGCCCCGATTTACGGCCGCCCCGAGCCGCCCCCGCGCGTGCGCGGAGGGCGGGGCCGGCCCGCCGGACTCGCGAGCTGCGCGCGGTGCCCAGTCGGTTCCCAATCGGTTCTTAACCGGTTCCGCAGCGCCGGGCGGCCGGTCTGGGCAGCATCCCCGTGGGCCCCATCGGTCCCTCCGGCCCGCGCGGCATGTATACCGTGGCAGCCGCGGCCGTCGGAGCGGGGCCAGTTACCCGCGGGTCTCCGTCCCGTGCGCGGCTTTGCTCTCCCCACTTCCTCCCGTGGCTGCGGAGCCCAAGTGGGCAAGCCATGAGCTGCTGCTGGTGCCACGTCCTGCGTTCACAGTGCCGCAGCCCGGGCCGGTCACGGGGCAGCAATCACCGTGCAGTACCTGCATTGGGACATAGTTCCTCTGGGATGCTGTCAGCCTGAACATTGACTCATATCCAGAATAGAATCAAATCCAACTCCTGGCGTTGCACAGGACAGCCCAGCAATCCCACCCTGGTCCTGAGAGCATTGTCCAAATGCTCCTTGAGCTCGTGCAGCCTTATGTTTGTGACCACTGCTGTGGGGAGCCTGGTCAGTGCCTGACCACCCTCTGGGGGATCCTTTGCTTAATATCCAACCTAAACCTCCCATGACACATTCACTTCGGTCATGGATCATACCTTTCCAAGCCTTTTCTCCAGACTAAAAATCTCTTTTTGGAAAGATGCTGCTCTATCCCATACATCTGTGTTTACTCTTATGACATCTTGCTCTACAGAAGTCCACACTGCTCAAAATGTAGGTGCACCTGAGTGTTATATGGTCACAGAGGGTCTGTCCAAAGAGTACAGTGTGTAACCATGCTAGTGCTCTCATTTCCTTGATGGTGCCCCATATTTCATTGGCTGCTTTGTTCGGAGCACCAGGGCTCCCCTGACTACATGGTCTCAGTCTCTATGCCTTAATCAATAGCAGCTGGCACAGGCAGTAGAAACTGAGCAATTCATGATTCTTATCTAACCCGTAATGATTGCTTCAAGGCTCATTTAACAACAGCATGCACAGTGCCCATCATTTGACTACATCCCTCACAAGCTATCATACCAGCATAAGGCAGAATCCAAGGGCCAGGCTCCTGATTCCTTTTGCAAGTACCACTTGAAACCATCTGGTTTGCCTGCTAGGAGAATTGTCCATCAGGAATATAACAGCAGAACTGACAAAACTTGGTAAAAATAAACAAATTACACTAATTTAGAAAAAAAAATCAGAATGGGTTGGGTTCCAAGGAACCTTAAAGCCCATCTCATTCCCCTCCTTGCCGTAGACAGGGACACCTTCCTCTAGAACAGGTTGCACCAAGCCACATCCAACTTGGACTTGAACACTCAGGGGTGGGTCAGCCACATCTTTGGGCAACCTGTGCCAGGAATTTCTACTAGCCAAGAATTTTTCCCCAGTATCCCACCTAACCTGGCCCTCTGGCAGTGGGAAGTCATTCCCCCTTGTCCTGTCATTCTAGACTCCTTTTCAAAGTCCCTCTCCAGCTCTCTTGGAGCCTCTTTAGGCACTGGAAGGGGCTCTGATGTCTCTCCAGAGCCTTTTCTTCTCCAGGTGAACACCCTCGGCTCTCCCAGCCTGTCCCCAGAGCAGAGGGACTCCAGCCCTTGGAGCAGCTCCGTGGCCTCCTCTGGACTGGCTCCAGCAGCTCCACGTTCTCCTGATGTTGTTCCCCAGGGCTGGAGGCAGCTCTGCAGGTGGGGTCTCACCTGAGTGGGGCAGAGGGGCAGAATCCTCCCCTCCCCTGCTGCCCATGCTGGGGGAATCAGCCCAGCACAGCAGGGGGGTTTCTGTGTGCCAGTGCCCATGGCCAGGGCATGTTGAGCTTCTTATCCACCTGCACCCACAAGTCCTTCTCCCCATGCCTTTTCTCAATCCATTCTCCCCTTAGCCTGTGTTTGTGTTTGGGATTGCCCTGACACAAGTGCAGGAGTTCCACTTGGCCTTGTAGAAGTTTTTAAGTCCCACCTCTCCACCCTGTTCAGGTCCTTCTGTATGGTATCTCTTCCCTCCAGCATGTTAACACCACACAGGATCTTTCTCTTTAAATACAGAATACCTATCTGTAAATAAATGTCCGTCTTCAGCATATGGTGGAATACTTCCATAGATCAGGCAGGACTCTTTGTAGTTCATGATTGCTAGTGCAAGCTGCATTATCAGTTGAATTTGCAAGACAGTGGGCACAAGAAATCCAGGCGTTTTCTAAAGCATGTTAAGGACAAATTCTTACTACCCTTGCTAGACAGGCCATCTAATTTAGCTGAACACCCAACTGTATCTGGTACTCATGACCAAGAGAGGAATGTTTGGGGACTTTATAATGGTCATGTTGGGTGTAACAACTGAAATTGTGTTTCTGAGGGGCAGAAAGATAAATGGCAGGCTGCAGCCCCTTCAAGAGAACGACTTTGGGTTATTCAAGTGAAATGAGATTCTGTGAGAGTTAGCTCTGAAGGACAAAGAAGCTCAAAAGAGCTGGCAGTTCGTTACAGACTTCCTCCAAGCACAAGAATAGCCTGTCCCAGCAATTAGAGGAGTAAGTAAATGTGTTGGGAGACCAACTTGGTAAACATAGAACTTGTGAATGAATGCAAAAACTATACATGGGATGAAAGCAAGGACAATCTACTGAAGTGGAATATAGGAATATTTCTTCTGCATGCAGAGGTGGTATTAGGAAAGCCAAGTTGACACTGCCAAGGGACTTCAAAAGCTTTCCTGGCCTTACTTTCCACCAAGGAAGTTCCCCAGATCTCTGAGCTTTGAGGCAGGATTCAGAGACAGGATCAAGTCAAAAATCTCTTGAGAACTCTCAGCCCACATGAGTCCGTGGGATCCAGTGGGCTTGGGGGGGGGAGGAGAAGGGGGATGAAAGCTGGCTCATGTTACTGAACAGACACATTTCATCAGCTTTAAAGGGTCCTGGAGATCAGTGAAGACCACATCTGCATTCCAGGGGGCACTTTAAGCAGCAGGAGGCTCTGTTTAACCTCTCACTCTCCAGCTACCAAGGCAGAAGAAAAATACCATTAAGAGTGTTGCTTTTCACCTGAAATGGGTCCTGTCATGCTTCCCTGGCTTAAATAAACTTGCCACTAGTCAATAAGCTACATGGTTCTGAACAAGTCATCCCCATTTTCCCTGAGGGTAGAGCTTCAGCCATGGAGCTCCCACAGATACCTGGGGCTGCAGCATTTTTTATTTGATCCCAGCTGACTTAAAGCTGATTTTAGCATATCCTCTGATCACGACCTGAGACCTTGAATAGCTTTTTAAGATTTTTTTTATTTTGTGCATGTCCACTAGGAGCTTACACAGCTGGACATTAGTGCTGGCAGCTGCATGATGTCCACATGGCAACCTGAGTCTGTGTGTGGTTCTAAACCTTGTCTGTGCCTTTTCCCTGGAGAACATTTGGTGCAGATGATTTGCAGAGAATTTAGCCAAAAGAATTAGCATGTTTCTATTCACACAAGAACTCTAAGTTTCAGGGATATACAACATGGATGACTTAGCTTCAGTCTTTATGGAATTAAGCTCCTTTCCCAAAGCAGACATGTCCTACAAACTGAGCCAAACACTAGTCTTGAAAAGCAAGAGTCAGAGTAATTACTTATTATGTGTCTAAAAAACAATAATTACATTTTTAATTTAAGTACTTACTCTGATACAGATATCCATTATAGAAAATTTCAGTTTAGAGCATTAAAACCTATTAAACTTATAAGAAACTGTGAACATGCTTTTATCATGAAAATGTTGGGCAACTTTAATTATAGGAATTACTGTCCTGTGCTTCTCTAATGAATGTGTGGTACTAGCATAGTGAGTGATGTGACCTATTTAAGGGGAGTGCTATAGAAAGAATGCACCTCAGAAAGTTACACTTAAGAATCAGCAGGTCATGTTCTCTATTCACGTTCTAATTAGAGCCCATACTTCTCAGAATCATTAACGCAAGAGAGGAAAATTAACAGTTTTATCCTAACAGCTTTGGGAGGTTTCTGATTGTGATTTAATTTACCTTCAAGTAAATCTGTAGTAATACCAGTGATTCTAGTAATTTATTATTTCAATAAAAAGTAAACTCCACCCACACCAACTTCACAGTTCTTGTGACTTTTAGAAATTAATTACAAGAGTTATCTGTACCCTGTGAGCTTGTCAACTTGCTGATATAACTAGAATCTATTTTGGGTGCATGCCATTAAGATACTATAAATGCCATACTTTCTGATTAGTACTATTGTTAGGTCAGTATTTCTAAAGGGACATGGCCTAAAAGTCACTATGACTTTGAAAAATTAAATATTTTTCCACAGCTGAGCTCTCAAAAAAAAAAAAAAGAAAAACAAAAAACAGCAAAAAAACCCACAAACAACACCACCACAAAAAAACACAAAAACCCACCAAAAAACCCCACACAGAAAACCAAACAAACAAAAGAAAAACAAATGAACAAACAAACAACAAAAAAAACCAAAAAAACACAAAGGCAAAAAGCCGCCACCTCACAAAGAAAACCCCAGCTAAAACCAAGCCACTCTGTGGTCTGTGACTGTCATTTGGATGGAATCATACCTGGGAGCATTCACAGTTGTTCCACAGCATGACAGTGGCATTTTGATCCATAGTTATAAGCATTCATCAGCAAGAAAAGAAACAGAGGTTCTAGAGTGAAGATAGTGCCACAGGTAATCACTATCTCACTTCTAGGTCTATTGCTCTATCAGTGTCCTGGACAAGAAGGCAGTCTCTAGATGTTCATCCCATGTAGGTCAGTAAATATACTATCTTGTCTGCTTCTGGTGCAGACCTGGATCAAGCAGAAGGTTGTACTTGAGGCCTCCAGAGGTGCATTCTGCCCATACCTCTATGATTTTCAGCAGTACAGTAATTATTATTAATTGGGAAATACAGCCAG